AGGATGTGTTTTATGCTAGAAATGATCTTAGGTAGCTAGGATGCTCCCTAAATCTCACCTTTGACATAGACGTTAGGTGAAATGAACCACAATGATTAAATCATGTACACTTGTAAAATGTAGGTCGATGCATGCTCATTTCCTACGAGTAGCTTTATATTACTCACCCCTACGATACTGGGGCATATTTCAAGTACAGGATACAAGATTGGAGATTGCAATTGCTTGGGTGATTTACTGAGTTGAGCTTCTTTAGAAGCATTCTTATTCACATGCAAGTGTTAGCATGTTCATGATTTGTCTATGAAATATAATTTTTCTAACTTGGAGGTTTGACATGTCAAATGTTGTAAATGTATTGTAATGAGGCCATAGGCCATTGTAGCACATCTATTTTATCATATTACATACACTTGCATGCTCACTTTGGCAAACAATACCTTCCTTGATGAAACAAAAACTCTAAGTAGCATTTTTAGGGAGTTTTACCCTATTCTGTTTCAGGGGCATTTTCGCGAGTCACGTAGAAAACTCAATTTTGAGGGGGGTTTCTTCTTTTTGTTTTTCCAGAAAACATCATTTTGGCCCTCAAAAATCAATATTTTTCCGAAAAGTCCTTGCTACCAGGTTTTGCAAATTTTTAGTACAAATGTAGTTGGTACTATTCATCGACTTTTTTTTTTAAATTGTCACGACCGATCCGAAACTTCCGAAGGTCTTGTGGGTGCATTTTAAGATTGCATTTTCAATTTAGAAAATTTAAAAACCTCCCGAAGCCCTATTTCCAAAACTTGGGCAGTAGCTCGGATTAGTTTTTTTCCTCTTGATCTGATTTTCTTGGGGGCATTCTGGGCATTTACAATGCACTTTTTTTTTTTCCGTTCGCAATCAGGGTAGGAAACTTGATTTTAGGGGGGGTTTCTTCTTTGAGTTTTTCAAAAAAAGTCCGTTTAGATGCCCGTTTTTACTCTCAGTTGCAGCAGTGGTGGGTTGTCCTCGTCAAGCCGCCACAACATCATTTTTGTTTTTGACCTTTCTCCCCTGTCCGGACTCCAAATTGAGTAAACTTTTTTTTGAACTTGACTAATTTGTCATTTTCTTTCCAGCGGTGTGCTCTATAGCACCTGAATCCACTTTTTGCAAAATGACCATTTTGCCCCTAGGTTCTTTTTATCCGTTTTTGAAACGCCACTTCTACATTTGTTTCCTTTGGGTTCCGTGACCTCATTGAGGGTCACATTGGGGTCTTAAAGACGCATTGTATCTCTAGAGACTGTTGTTTCACCTTTCGCTTCCGCATTTCAGATCCATTATCGGGTCATCTTTTAGTCATCACTGACGCACCGGGTTTACAAAACTTGGGCCGTCACAAAATACTTGTGGTTTAGGAGATGAGGAACGAAAAACAATGATTGCATCTTTTCCTATGGAGTTTGGAACTCTATCACACTAGATGGTGTTCGGTTGATTAAATAGGCAGTCGATTTCCTGTCTCGCCCTAATAGAATTTCGGTATATTCATACCAAAGAGGGAGGCCCGAACTATTTCCATAATCTGTCTATTCTTTCACTCTACCAGTCCATTTTGCTATGGAGTATAGGTGCAGGAGGTTTGATGTCTAATTCCTTGGTGGCCTAAGAAAATACCTAAAATCTTATCCACAAACTCTTTACAATTGTCAGATTGAAGTGTGCGAATCTGCCTTTGCTATTGAGTTGTCACCATATTATGAAATTCCTGAAATGTTGTACCTACATCACTCTTACTTCGAAGAAGAGATATCCCGGTCATTCGAGTACATTCATCAATAAACGTAACAAAATAACGAGCATTAGAAAGTGAAGGAATTTTTTCAGGACCCCAAACATCCGAGTGAATAACCGCAAAAGGTTATGAACTTTTATTCAAACTTGGTAAACAAGAAATACGATGACTCTTGGCTAGTTGACAAATTTCACAATGAAAGTCTAAATCACTTAAACACGAAAACAAATGCGGTTGTAACTTCTTAAGATAACCAAAAGAAAGATGCCCTAGCCTTCGCTTCCATAACCACACAATTGCTCGAGCTTTATCTTCACTACTTGTTTGATTCGCTTAACTGAACTTTAACCCCCTTTTCCCATCAACTCCAAATAATAAAGTTTTCACCGTCTAACACCATAACCAAGAATCTTTCGGGTTAGAATGTCCTCAAAAACACAAAAGGAAGGCCAAAAAGTTACAGCACACGCAAGGGTAGAGGTAATTTGGCTAACAGAAATAAGGTTATATTTAAGGAATGGAACAATAAGAATAATATCTAAAGTGAGAGAATCAGACAAAATAACAGACCCTTCCCATGTAACAGGAGAGGTACTACCATTAGTTGTGGAAATAACTAACTGAGAAGGAAGGTTAAGAGATTTTAACTGACCAGAGTCCCTAGTCATATGATCCGATGCACTTGTATCAATAATCCAAGCCCTATTCTTAGAAGTCACAGAGAGTACAAAAGCTCTACTAAGTATACTTAGGTGAACAACATTTGCCGTTGGTTGCACATGTTCCTCTTCCATAGAAGTTACCATGGTTTTTCCTCCAATTTTCTTCTGAGGCTACTTCGTAAAATCTCACCAATCAAGATAGCCAATAATCTCATAGCATCGTTGTTTCGAATGGCCTGATTCACCACAATGAGTACATACTCACCCACTAGATTTTCCAGTAGCCTAATTACTCCGATTTTTTGAAGGGCCCGATGGTGGTCCTTGTCGAGTTTGGTTGGCCATCATCGCCAAGCTCTCAGAGATTGGATGAGATCCTCCCATCGTCTGTTTCTACTGATACTCTCTTTGGACATATGCATATGCATTCTCGAGGTCAAGCTTTGGATCTTTTCGCAAGATTTCTCCACGACTCTATTCAAACTCAGAGTCTAGTCCGCTTAGAAAATATGAACTTAAAGTCTCACCATAGTCGAGTGCAATTGAACCACTCCTTCAACTGTGACATAGTCCAGTGATCAATCTCTTGAAAAATAGTAACAAGTTCATTATAGTATGTTGGCAGAGGGCGGCCATTCTCCTTGGTAGAAAAAGACCTCTGATTCAATTCAAAAATACACATTTCATCTGATCCATCATAGAAGGTTCTAGACACTGCCTCCCATATCTCCTCAGTCGTGGGAAGACAAATAATCGCTGCATCAATGATGGGCTCATCGAGTCAATAGTCAATGAGCCAACTCTTGACTCGATGATTTGAGGTTATCCATACCTCCAATTTCGGATCTCCAAGTGCGGGTTTTGTCGCTTCTCAGGTGAGACACCCAGCCTTGTTACAAGAGCCAATCCGTATCTCCATGAGCTGGAGACCATAATAAGTAATTAGTCTCATCCAGTATAATTCCAGTTGGAAATGCAAAATTGTTTTGGTGGGCTATGATCCGCAGTGCCAGAGTCAGGGTTGGTACGGTAGTTGCGCCTGAAGTAATCACCATTTAGACTAACAACAGGAATAAAATATGAAATACGAAGAAGGAAAAATAAATAAATAAAAATTCTTAGAGTTGCTCTGATACCATGTTAGAAATAGAGAGAAGGAGAGAATACAATGTATTGTATTACTGTATTGAATGAAAATATACAACCACTGATGGGGTTTATAGAAGTGACGATGGAAGGTAGGTGAGTGAATGTTGCCTAAGCAAATCTATACATGGATATAAAGGGTAGGTGAGCCGACGGCTATACAAGGTGAAAACCCTGACCCTAACAATCTAACAATAAGAAATAAATTACAATATATCGGTCAACCATCCTAATTATAACAATTAATTACCAAATCAATTTAGGAGAATTTACATAAATATATTAGGAAATACAGCTCATGCTAACAATAATTCAAATAAGTTAATTCATAAGTCAAAGGTTAATAAGGTACTTTTACCTTGGTTTGAGAGTGTCATTGTTCAATTTATCAAACTTGGGGAGTGTCATTATTATAATGGTGCCCAAGTTATAAATGACAGTCGTCTTTGACCCAAACCTAGGGGGTGTCAGTTCAATTTACCCTAGTTTCTTTGATTCTCTCCTCAATTTGATAGAATGAATACATATATAAAGCAATGGTGCTCATCATAGATATGCAAATTTTGAGAGCATAATAAATAATTCATTATGGCCATACAAAACATATGCAAATATGGAAAGCTGGTGCTCATCAAACAGAAAGCAATGGTGCTCAACAAAGATTTGGAAATATGCAAAGTTGGTCCCTTGTTTGCGTAGTTAATAAATTAAGCAATACTGGCCGACAAAGGTGGCACGAGCTTCTTTACAACCTGCAAACACACTTGTGATAACGGATTCTTTGCCCATGCATTCTTTAGATATGCTTGGCTTCTGCGCCTTTTGTTATTTGGGTTGGGTTTAGATCAAACATTTTAAAATTGATCAATTTAGAACGTATAGTATTTAAAAATAATAAAAAAAGATAAAGTACAACATCACCCCTTAAAATTTGCCAAAAGAATACACATATACAAGTTACTTATTTTTTGAACAATAACATCCTTTTTCTGAAATTCTAACCAAACAAGGCCTTAAATCATTTGAAAAAACAAAATTACCCCTTAATATTAAAATCAGATTTATTGTAAAATATTAGACATGTTAAAAGGACACAATTGCCCCTAAAAATTTAGGGGCACAAATTAGTGCCACTTGGATCCAGATTAAACCACCATCCTCTCAACCAAAGGTCAAGATTCCCTCACAAATCTCATCTCTCACAAATACTGACACTCCAAATCTTACCTATCACGCTCCACTTTCTCCTGTTATTAATTTCAATGACAATTTTGTCATCAGACATCTCCTTTCTTCAACCAAGATAAATAAAAAATCTCCTTTCTCCAACCGAGAGAGAAAAATTCTCATCTACGCACATGTATACATATACATGTTATAATTGAAGATAAATATAGAAAATGAAGAAAGCAAACGACACAAAGAGCCGAAAGGGATACATCACTCTTATTATATTCTCTCTTGAGATTGTTTACAATGAGCACATCTATTTATAGGTGAAAGAATACAAGTGATAAATATGAAAAATATATTGATAGAGGATTCCTAAAATCAATCACATAAATGACTCTAATCAATATTCTATTGTAGGCTAAAATCACTTCGTTAAAACATAACAAATGATATCTTACCGCGCCTCTTCTGCCAGCATTGTAGTGCATACCTGGGTTGCATTCCCAGCTGGTGCAGCTTATTCAATAATTTTTCATTTTGCAGTCTCAGATTTCATTTCAGTTACTAAATCAGAAGCAAAGGCCAGCAGTGTTTCAAAATTAGAATCATGTTTACAATCAGCAACAAAATACATTCAACATGAAGCTATATCTATTATTTACTATTAATTGGATCCAAGAAACCTCAAATTCCCCTCTAACAGCATACCAGCAGCTTTCTCAAAATTTAAATTCAGTTCAAAATCAGAAACAGAATACATCCAAAATGATGTTATCTTCTCCATTAATTAAAAGAAAATTTCTCCAAACTTCTCTATAAGAGAAATTTTATGAAGAAATAGCAGATAAGGGACGAAGGCTGTCAATGATGGAGTCTATAGCAGCGTGAGAACCCTTTGTAGCTGCGACCATAAGGTGTTTAGGCGCTTCAGCTCTATCAAAATAAAATGCACCCGTTACCAATTTTTCTTTTGGCTGTAAAGCCAACCAGATAATCGTATCTGCACCTTCCTCACATGTTCTAAGCTTTCCTGATAAGCTGTAATGCATGTACAACAATTGACTTCCATTTCCCTAAGAATTGGATGCTAAATATAGAATATTAAAGAAGTACTTGTAGAACAATATTGGTATGAGTGTTCTTACCTTTTCGAAAAACTAGGCAAACTTTTAGCAACCCCAGGTGTCTCAGCCCAACCCGGGTGCATTGAGTAGAAGCCAATGCCTTTGTTATTGTACATTTCAGCCCATTTTTCTGTCAATGCCAACTGAAAACAAAAAATTAGAGAGAAAAAACAAATTATATAATCATTTTTTTTTCAAGGACATACACTAATTTAATATAGGCCTTACGGCCTTTCCTAATTGGAAAAAAGAGCCGTTATAGGGTTTTTCGGGAGCTTGGAAAAACTAGTGTTTCTTTGAGGAAGAAGACGGTTTCACAGCCATGGAGGAGGGTCAAACCTCCTCCCAAACGCAGCTGGGAGCGTCTACTACCCAAAACTATTTTCCCCCATGAACGTCATGGAGAAGTTTGAACAAAAACTGAACTGAAAACCCCTTCATGAATCTTTCATTTACAAAGAATGTAAAACTGCAGACAACGTTACAGTAGAGGATAAAGGTCACTGTGAAAGTTAAAATAATTGGGAAAATTTAACCACAATGGTATTTATCCCAATAGGGGTATATGTGTGTTATATAGAAGGTGTTGAAAAGCATAAAACGGAAGCGAAGAGATGAATAAAACAAGTAGAACACACAGATATTACGTGGTTCAGCCACTAGGGCGTACATCCATGGCACAAAGAGTTCAAAGGGCTACATCACTTATAATACTCTCTCAATTCATATAAAATACGATGGTGGAGGCTCTTTTATATAGGAGAAGAAATTATGAAAATGGAAAGAATTAGAAAATAGGAAACAAGGAGGATTTTTCTCCATTGATTCCTCTAGTAATACCAAATTTTCAATAATAGAAAACAACATTAATTACTGAAAAATTATTCCTCCATTAAATCTTCAATACTCCCCCTCAAGTTGGAGCATGAATGCCCAACTTGCCATTGAGATGATGAGTAACAAGAAGTGTAAATGATGAAGAGAGGAGAGAAAACGAAGAACAATGCTACCGAACACACCGACAACCCATACAAGTCAACAAAAAACTGTTGGAGACACGCCAAATGCGAGGACAATACTACCAAACACACCGACAATCCAAACAAGTCGATAAAAACTGCCAAAGACACGGCAAAGGAGAGGACAATGTTACCGAACACACCGGCGGCCCAAACAAGTCAATAAAAACTTTCAGAGACACGATAAAGGAGAAGAACATTACTGCCAAACAAGCCGGCAGCTCAAACAAGTCACAAATAATACTGAAAAACCCTTAGCAACATTTTAAATGCTAAAGCCTAAGAGAATACCCTAAAATAGGGGTCCGAACCTAAGAAGAGAAATTAAGCTTTAATGCCATGTTAACAACCTATCTACTCTAAAAGCTTAAGCTACTAGAGAGGGTGTAACTTAAATATATAAATCCTTCAACACGCCCCCTCAAGTGTAGCCTTTTTTTAGTCCAACAAGGTGACAGTGAGGTATGAACATAAGACCTTTGACTCTGATACCATGTTAAAAAGCATAAAACGAAAGCGAAAAGAGAAATAAAACAAATAGAACACACAGATATTACGTAGTTCAGCCACTACGGCCTACATCCATGGCACAAAGAGCACAAAGGGTTACATCACTTTTATAATACTCTCTCAATTCATATACAATACAATGATGGAGGCTCCTTTATATAGGAGAAGAAATTATGAGAATGGAAAGAATTAGAAAATAGGAAACAAGGATGATTTTTCTCTATTGATTCCTCTAGTAACACCAAATCTTCAATAATAGGAAACAACATCAATTACTAAAAGATTTTCCTCCACTGATTCCTCAATTAAATCTTCAATAGAAGGCAAGACTAAATCTAAAAGACTAAATGTCAACTAAAGTCTATATTTAAGCCTAAACACAAGTAACATAAGATATGTAAATATACAAGCTAATATCAAGCCTAAATCTAAAGGGGCATGTCTAACAGTCCCCCGTAAAGTCTAGGGACGACAAATTTGGATCGCAGATGCCTAAAAATATGCTTGTGAAGCCCTTTAGTGAAGATATGTGCAGTTTGGTCAGCGGAAGGACAAATTGAACACGATGGCTACTAGAGAGAACAAGTTCCCGAATGAAGTTTTGGCCCAAATTTGGTTCCGAATCGCATCGACCGGAAGACCTGCTTATTGCTTGCGGACCTTGGACCCTATTTAGTGCTCTCTTTTAGCCCTATATATAGTGGCGTTTAGGGTTTAAAGTGGGACATCGAGACACTGGAAATCACGAAAAGAGAGTGAGCAAGAGCTAGGGTTTGGAGGCTGAAACTTGTAATATCCTGTTTTTCGCATAGTAAAATCTTTTGTCGGATCTCCATCGTGGACGTAGACACACCTTATGTCAAACCACGCTAAATCTTTGTGTTCTTTGTGTGTGGCGTGTTTATTTTTCTGTTGTAATTTCGTGATTGTTACTTAGTTCATGGTTGTTTGTTATAACATAAATGATAATCAAGCTCAATATGCTTGGTACGAGCATGGAAGACACGATTGGATTCCATGTAAGTAGTGATGAGGTAGTAGAGCATCACTAGTGTAGAGAGGCACATGAAGCTCACGTAAAAGGTGTCGTATCCAAATGGTCTCTGCATATACTAAAGCGAGTGACAATACTCGGACTAAGAACTTGAATGAGAAATTGTAGGTTGTTTCTTAGCACTCCAAGAAATGAGATTCAGATCTAAGAAAAACAGTAGGCAGAAAGTGGATCGCGAGTATCCAGACAACCAGCCCAACCAACATCGGAGAACGCACGAAGGACTAAAGCACCGGAAGAGGAGCGAAAGACCAATCCAATTCCAAAGTGCCTCTGAGATAGCGTAGATGAGTGGTCTGAGGGGCACTCATGAACTGAGTAACATGATGATCCTATAACGACCCAAACCTGGGGGTCCGGATCATTATCCTGGTCCTTAACCGAACCCGAGGTCATCTAAGGGCATTACGGTCATTTCCATTGTTAAGATATAATTAATACATCAAAATATGCTTTGTAGTGCACCATGGCATCGTTGGATGGGTCGGGATTGGACAAAAGAGGAGAAGAAATGAAATCTGGGAAGAAACATGAATTGGTCGACGTGTGCAGGTTACACGTTGATTAGTTCAGCTAAATCAGTCAACGTCTGGTCTAGACGTTGACCGGTTTGGCTCTGCAATTGAAATATAGTTCTGCTGAGATACTGGTCGACGCCTAGTGTCCCACACATCGACTGGTTTGTGCCTCTTTGGCTTTTAAGGCTTGTTTTTGATGGTTTAACCCCCCGGCATCCTCGTTGGTCCATTTACAACCTTAAATATGGTCTAAACCGGTCCCGAAAGCAAACATATAATCCAATACAACACAATTAACTTTCATGCAATCATAAAATCATTGAAACAAGTTTAATAAATCATAAACGGCCAAAATGAATCCGTTTACATTACAATACGGCCTTAAGGCCTTACATGGATTTAGAAATCCTAATGAGACCACAAAGATGGTCTCAAAACTATTTCTATCTATATACAAACTTGTGGCAAAGGAATTACATAGCCAATACAATTCAACATTCACATCAAAATAACAAATTCAAAATAGACTATGGGCCTAGTCTATAAAAGAAATCCACGGGGCTATCATGGAAGAGGACCAAGAAGTTGTGGGTCGTCCATTACCTCTTTTTCGGTTCCTGAAAAATAATAATAAAGGGGAGTGCATAGCTTGGTGCCTAAAACGCACTCCTTAATGATCCAGTGAATTACACGCAAAGAATGGAATAAAGGAAGAGGGATCATGCTCACATTCAGGAAAATAATCAACATACTCTTCACCATACAGTCCAAGCATAATAAATATAATGTTATGCAATGCCAATTCAATGCAATGTCCACTCCCCATTTCCGAAACTTTTACTAACCATAACAACCGTCAAACCGTTAGCATAACCTGGCCCAAGGTGACTCCCCGGTGCCATGAGAGAAGGATTTGCTAACTATCCTGACCTAAGGTGACTCCTTAGCATCATTTGGGGCCTAAGTAATTCAACCACGCATAGGGCAGTCTCCCTACGTTCCCTCTAGGTTCCATTAACGCCATGGGCACATGGTGACTCCTTGCCGTCCGGTTTTCGCAAACATCTTTTCAAACCTTTCCAAAATTAAATTTTCATTCGAAATTCAATTTCCCTTTTTTTCTCACCCAATGCCAATGCATAAATGTATCATGAATTTCAACATCATGTCAATATAAAATTTCACACATTAGCTACCATTATACTTGCATTCTTTGGAAGTGAGTAATGCAACAACTCACATGTTATCAACTACACAATCATAGCATTTTAGATATGTAAAGCATGTATGTAGTAACAACAATTCATCAAATAATATCACATTAATTCATATAAGCATGCAATTTCAACACATATACCACATAAAGCCATAAATATCATGCCTTACAATGATAAACCCTAATGGTCGTACATAAATTTCACAAATTACAAATGCCACAATACAATTTAAGGGCATTAATTCACAAAAATCAAAGAATGAGAGGTTTAGAGACCCCTACCTTAAAAATCAAGCAAAATGCCTAAAATTCCCCCAAATTCAAAAATACCAAAGTCACCCAAATGAAAATCTTCTCCGATCAAATCATAGCCCTCGTCGAGCTCTTTAACTTTAAGTTCAAATCCTAGAGGAAGATGATGAATTTGTGTCTTGAAGTTTGAGATTTAAAGAAAGTGGTTTAGAGAGATAAAAAAAGGCTTGGTAGAAACAAGAAGAAAAATGACCAAAAAATGATCATGTGGTCCTTTGTATAATGCTTGGTCAACGTGGGGTCTGCTTTGATCCTAGAAATGACTAAAATGCCCTTTTCCTCATATATATATACACTAAACATGCCACAATGATGAAATAAAACACATAACATAATTATGCTCCACATAATGATATATGAAATGTAATGACCTTGAAAAATAATCCCGAATACAAAAATCCGAGTGTTGGGCCCACTCAGGACCTTCCGACCTAAAAATCCAAAAAATGGGAAAAAGACCATAAATGCATTTCTAAGAAAGAAATGCCCCAAACCACACTCGGAACCCTCGAGG